GGCCAAAGCATCCCAGAGGGCAGCAGATGTGGTGAAGCCGCGAGCATGTTTGTGAACGGAGGGGCTGATGACCGCTAGGAGGCAGGCGCGGATCTGTGTGTCAACGATGGTCCAGGAGGTATACTCTGGATTAGGGACGGTTTTATCATTTTTGGAGATAGTTGGCGCCGGGGCTGCTTCATGACCATCAATCCATCCAAGGAGGAGATTAGCTGAAAGAGCTGTCTGGACATTGAGAGACCATGTCGGATAATTTGTTTCGGTGAGTTTTTCTGGGATTAAGTTGTGGAGACTCCGAAGCAAAAGTTTTACTCCGGAGGGTAAGGACGCCAAAGGATCCGACGGGGCTGCCATGATGGGCGGCGGTCGGAAAAAAAGAGAGGCTAGGTTTTTGAGAGTCTTAGCTCTGATACCATGATACAATTTGATAATAACTTGTCTTATTGAATATTGAGAGATATGGCCCTATATATAGGGAATACAAGAGTAATCAAAGTACAAGTAGGAAAAGAAAGAATAATCCTAGTAGGAAAGAAAAGAAGTATCCTAATTTAATTATACTTCCTAATAGGGTAGTGGGATTTGGGTGGAGTTTATGTAACATCGTTGTCAATTTGGCCAATGCAAAATGGTCCATTCCCCCTAGCAGCAAGCAGTACCAATAATTCATAGAGTAGTGGCAATAATAAAAAAAATATAATGGACTAATCGTGCACCATAGGGAGCCATTATTATTTTACGAGTACAAAAATAAAAATAATACGTAATAATAATAAAATCTAGTTAACACGAAGTACATATATACATACTCCCTAGCTGTTTCATTAAAAGGAACAATGATGTGTTGGCATTTTTCAAAACAACTTGGCCTTGTCTCCATGTTTCTTAAAATCTTCGTAAAACATACTCCGTATTACTCCCTCCGTCTCAAATTATTTGCCACATTTGCTTTTTCAACAGTCGCGGAAACTTTTGTTTATTTCTACGTTTTCATTGGTTATTTGATAAAATAAAATATTCTTGACACCTCTTATTTCGAAGAACTTTTCATGTAGTTTTTTGATATGTAATTTTTATTTTTTATTTCTTTACCAATATGCAAATAAAATGAATTGAAAAAACTTGATATTTTGACTCGGTAATAGAAATGTGACAAATAATTTGGGACGGAGGGAGTAGTATATTTTTAATTATTCACTACTACTTTCCACGTGCCACAATCCCATCCATCGCATCCATGAAAGCTACTGTGTGCGTAGAAACCAAACAATTCACCCATTCATACAGCTTGAAAGCTACGGATAATATATTTGGGACCGATTCATTTTTATTTGGGGTCCATTAATTATTTTTTATTTTGAAAAGATTCATTCCCTATTTCGTTCGCTCAATAATAATTTTTTTTTTGATTTTTTTAAAAAGGAGCAATTAAACCAAAGAAAATAATTTTAAGAGTGATAGATGGATTAATTAAATTAGTTCAAGACATAAGGTTTTAAATTTAATTGTAGCTACTTACTTTAATTTCAACAACTGTACATACATTCGAGAAATAATACTCCGTATGAATCTTTTTATGGAACACATACAATATCTTTCTTAAATATATTGGAAATCTGGCAATAAAAATATTTTGATTAAAATTTAAGTGACTATACAACATCCACTAAAAATTCAATAATACTTCTGTATCACTTTGTACACTATATTATGTTCATCACAGCTTTGCAACAGTACAGTGATGGCTACTCATATAAAATTAAATATACTCCCTCAAGTCTTAAAAATATTTTTTATTTTGATTTTTTAAATCAAATACTGACACTCTTTAACCATTAACTAAACATAATTTAGATAAATAAATGATATTAAAATTTGATATATCGAAACTATATTCTAAAATGAACCAAATTATATTAAATATATTTTCATTGTGAAATTATGTCACTCTTTGACAAAAAAAATCAAAACATGAGAGATTTTTATAACCGGCGGGAGTATTCAAAGGCCATGTTTAGAAATAACGTTAGAGATTAGCGTTAACGTTGCATATTACTTTGAAAATGCTAACGGTAAACGTTGTCTGTGGATAGATTTTTTAAAACGCTAATGCTAATCTCGAACGCTATTCCCAAACAGGCATGAAAAACATCAAAAGTTATACTTGGTAAAAAAACTAGAGGTGCAAAACTAATCTATTTTATCTAATGAAAAATAGACAAATAATAAATATATGTAAAAAGGTTTGACACTTTGACCATGTAAAAGAGTCTTACTTCCTCCATCTATAAACTTTCTATCGATTTTCCTTTGTCCATGTATAAATTTTCTTTCCACCTCTATTTTTAGTAAATACGGAGTACTTTTTTTAAAAAGGTGTGACTACCCTCAACCTTACATATTACGAAGTACTCCGTAATTACTATCTACCTCTACACCTTATTTCATTTTTTCTTTTACTCAAGGGCAAGTGTGGAAAGTCTAAATATTACTCCGTAGTTGTCAAGAAAATAATGCAAACTAAACTAAGGTAAAAAACATAATATATGGAAACTAAGGGGGGTGTATTCAACGTGGATTCTGTAGTATTTTTTTGGATTTCAAAAGTCTGTGGGTATTCAATCCAGATTTAAAAAAATCATTTAAAATCTGGAAGTATTCAATTCAGATTTTAATATATCCTTCTAAATATAATGTTATTCAAAAATTAATTGATTTTAAAATATTTCTATAATATATGGATTTTGATGGATTTGAGGCTTTAGGTATAAATTAAAATCTAAGTCCAAAATCTCACAAAAAATGCAAAGATTTTGCAAATCCACGCAGGCAAATCCTTCATTGAATACTTCTGATGGCAGCGGCTCGACGTGGAATACTTCTGATGGCGGCGACTCTTCAATTCCACGCAGGGTTGTTCCGTGCCCCCATCTCGCCCAATCTTCATCACGATGGCGGCGACTCGACGTGGAACCACGATGACGGCGACCCTCGAATTAGGCAGAGGAAAGGACGAAGATCGAAGAAGAGAGAGGGGCTAGGGTTTCTAGGGAGGAAGAAGGGAAAAAAGAAAAGAAAAGAAAAAAAAGGAAAGAAAATATAGAAAGAACGGAGATGGAGGAAGAAGGGGCTAGGGTTTCTGGGGAGGAAGAAGGGAAAAAAAGAAAAGAAAAGAAAAAGAAAAAAGGAAAGAAAAAATTGAAAGAATGGAGATGGCGGAAGAAGGGGCTAGGGTTCATGGGGGAAGGAGGAAAAAAAGAAAAGAAAAAGAAAAAGAAAAAAGAAAAGAAGAAAAAAAGAATAAAAGAAAAATAAAATATAATCCTATAAAATCCTTTCATAAAATACATTAGATTCTAGCTAACTCTGCGTAAACTTAAAACAATCCAATGAACTTAGAGAATCTATGGATTCTAAATAATTTAGAGAAATTTACCTAAATAGGACTAAAACATAATGACTTTCTCAATATAAGACCATATCTTTTTATTTCTCAATGTAGGACTTTTGGTCATTATCAAGTGGTCATTATTCAACTAACTGTCTAGTATTACAGGACATTATTCCTCCCACCAAGTCATTATTAAATCCTATTTAGGGAATAAAAAAGTTTAAGTCCTACATTAGAAAAGTCATTATGTTTTAGTCCTATTTAGTGCAAATTTCACAATAATTTATTGTGGCAAGAAGTTGATGGCTTGGGGGGTGATAAGATGCATAAATTTGGTAAACGGATTAAGCATTTAAAGGCTGAGGTGGAAAGATTTAGGGGGTGTCGTAGTGCTACGGGGTTGAGGGAGTTTAATCGACTTGACAGGGAGCTGTCGAAACTCGAGGATATTTATTGGCGACAACAGGCTAAGCAACACTGGCTTCGGTCGGCGGATGTTAACACTAAGTATTTCCATCAATATGCATCTTATCGGAGAAAGAAGAACCATATTGCTCGGTTACAGGATGGTGCAGGACAGTGGTGTGAGGGTGCAGCCCTTAAACCTTTGGTTTGGCATTATTTCAATCAAATTTTTGACTCTACAGGGGCTGATTAATCAACTTTTTTTGATCAGATTACCCTGAAGGTTTCGTCAATGCATAATGATATGCTTCTTAGGCCGTTTGAAGAAGTGGAGGTTCGAAAGGCGCTTTTTGCTATGCATCCAGACAAATCACCAGGACCTGACGGGATGAATCCGGGATTTTTTCAAAAGACGTGACCCCTGGTTGGTTCAGAAGTTACGAGGTTTGTTCTTTCATGTTTGAATGAGGGAGTTTTCCCAGGCAATTTGAATGATGCGACTATTGTTTTAATTCCGAAGAAGGACATTCCTGAGACGGTTGCAGACTTAAGACCCATTGCCTTGTGTAATGTTGTCTACAAAATCATAGCGAAGGTTTTGGCCAATCGTATGAAGTTTATGCTCTCGGATATTATCTCTCATACTCAATCAGCCTTTATACCGGGGTGCTTGATCTCAGATAATATTCTTCTTGCTGCAGAGTTGGGTCACTTTCTTCGTCGTAAGCAAGGAGGAAACACTGGTTGGGTGGGCCTTAAGTTGGATATGGCTAAAGCGTATGATAGGATGGAGTGGAATTTTTTGCGTACTATGATGTTGAGGTTGGGCTTTGATCAGAGATGGGTTAATCTTATTATGCTTTGTGTTACCACTATTAAATATAAGATTGCGCTGAATGGTGAATTTACGGAACCTATCACCCCGAGCAGAGGGCTCCGTCAAGGCGACCCGCTGAGCCCCTATCTTTTTATTATTTGTGCTGAGGGTCTTTCGTTACTTTTACAGGATGCGGAAAGACGAGGTGCGATTCATGGGATCAGAGTTTGTAGAGGGGCTCCACCTATCTCTCATTTATTCTTTGCCGACGATAGTCTTGTGCTCTTTAAGGCTTCTCCTGATGAGGCGTGTGCAGTGAGAGATTGTTTGGTTGAGTACGAACGGATCTCAGGGCAGGTTATCAATTTTCAGAAATCCAATGCTTGTTTCAGTCTAAATGTCCCCCCTTTGTTGAAGCAATGGGTTACCTCTTTTTTTGGTGTCACCCCAGCCCATAACTTTGGGAAATATTTGGGTCTTCCCTCTTTCTTAGGAAGGGACAAAAGTGGGGTTTTTACTTACATCCTTGACAAGATTCGACATCGTATTGGTGGATGGAGTAAAAAGTTGCTTTCTAAAGCCGGGAAAGAAATCTTGCTTAAGACTGTTGCACAAGCTATGCCCCAATTTGCTGTGAGTGTGTTCCGTCTCCCTTTGTCCGTTTGTGATCGTATTGAGAAGCTAATGAATTTTCCTTTTGGTGGAGGGGAGGTGGGTCTAATGCCTCTGGAATTCATTGGAAGTCATGGGATAGGTTGTCTGTTCCTAAAAAGTTTGGGGGTTTGGGCTTCAAAAACATTCATTACTTCAACATTGCCATGCTAGGTAAACAGGGGTGGCGGCTCTTGACCAAACCTGAGGCCCTTGTGTCACGGGTTTTCAAAGCTAGATATTTCCCTAACTCTACATTCCTTGAAGCAGGTTTGGGGTCTACTCCAAGTTACTGTTGGCAGAGCATTATGGCAGCCCAAGAGTTGGTTAAAGCGGGGGTACGCAGGCGTATTGGGAATGGGGTCGAAACAATGGCGTGGGGTACTCCGTGGTTGTTGGACCGGGATAACCCGTTTCTTCACACCGTGTTAGCTTCACCAAGTGCTAACTTGCCGGTGAGTTTTTTTTATTCATGCGAATAGGGGCTGTTGGAATGTAGAGAGGCTTCAAACTCATCTTGTGCAACGTGACGTGTCTCAGGTGCAGATGATTCCGTGTTGCCCTCGGCGTAAAGATAGTTGGTTTTGGATTGGCAGTGAGGACGGCCTTTACTCAGTGAAGTCGGGGTATCGCAGGATTATGGGGGAGGCTACCCAAGCTCCAGGTTTTTCACAATGGAGCCGACTGTGGAGGATTCCAGTAGCTCCCAAAGTAAAGGTTTGTGTTTGGCGTGCACTTCGAGGTATCCTCCCAACTGTTTCGACCTTGAATTCCAAAGGTTTGGAAATTGATAATTGTTGTTCCATTTGTGGCCAGCTGAGTGAAACAGTGGATCATTTGTTTCTTCTTTGCCCGTTTGCAGAATATGTGTGGGAACGCAGTAGCTTCCGGGTGGCTAATCGATCGGCGGCGAGTTCGTTCTCGGACTGGGTTCAGTTGGTGTTTCAGACAGCCACGTCCAGTGAGCTAATCCCCATAGTGTGGACAATCTGGATGATTTGGAAGTGTAGGAATGCAGCCGTATGGGAACAACGGGTGCCAACCCCAGAGGTAACAGTTCGCATGGTGCTGAATTTTTCAAAAGGGTGGGAGAATAGTCATAGAGAGGATCCCCCCACCTTAGCTCCTTCGGCAGAGAGGGTTCCCCCCTTGAAGCTGCCCATTGTTTTTTTGATGCTGCTTTATTCCATGCTTCGGGTCTGGTTGGTGCTGGTGGAGTGATTTTCTCTTCTTCTAAGGAATTTCAAGCGGCTTTTGCTCGACGGTTGTGGTGCCCGCAAGATCCGTTGTTGGCAGAAGCTATGGCATGCCGGGAGACTTTGTCGTGGCTCAAAAGTCTTGGAGTCCAGGTTGCTGTTATTTTTTCTGATTGTTTTCGTGTCGTAGAGGCAATTAATGATAGTGGTGTGTCAGATTGTGCTTCTTATTTCGGGTCTTTGATTGATGACTGTAAGGCCCTCATGGCCTCGTTTGAATCTGTTTTGGTTTCTCATGTTCGTAGAAATCTCCATGTGGTAGCGCATACGTTAGCTAGGCGGGTTGAAACTCAGACAGGTGATTGAGATTTTGTTCCCCCTGATTTTCTTATGTCTCTTTTGAATTAATGAAAGTTGGTTGTTCTCAAAAAAAAATTTATCAAAATCTTGTAAAATCTAAATTGAATACACCCCCTAAGTAAAGAGGTAGACAATAAAATTACGTACAATACAGAGTATTCTTTAAGAAGGAAATCAAATTTTATTGGGTGGTGTCTAAAAAGAAAAAAGAAAAAACGAGAATATATAAATAGGGATCAATTATTGACTCGATTATAACGTAATACTCTCTCCGTCCTGGAGTATTCGTCCACTTTTAACTTTTAGAACTGTTCATCTAAGCACTTTGACTCATCAAATTCTCTCAATGTGTAAGCCTAAATATAGTCATGTGTGATCTTGTTTGATTTGTCTTAACATATAGATTATTAATATATAATTTCTATAATTTTTTAATATACAAATTACAAGATAAAATAGATTAAAGAAGTACATTGGATGATGTGTAAAAATGAAAGTGGACAAATACTTTGGGACGGAATTAGTATATGTTCATAGAATTACGTTGAACCTTTGAAAAATAGACTTCCTACTACTCAAACTAGTGGAGGAGTTTGTTGGATGCATTAATGTAGTGTGTGTATCACATGGAAATTGTTACGCAGGATATGTTGTGATGAGTCTTGTGACCGTGAAAATTGTGACGTCGTCCACTTATACCTCAATCATCCCTAAATTAAATACAATGTCCCTCCCTAAAATATTTAAATCTTAGAATTTCAAATTAATTTTATTTATAAATTGGTATAAAGATAAAAAAATAAAAATTATGCATTTAAAAACTATGTTAAAACTTCTACAAAAAAAGATGGCAAGAGTATCTTGTTTAATGAGATAGCAAATGAAAACATGCAAATAACAAAATTGTTGAAGAGCATAATAATAAAAAGGTAAATCATTTTACGACGGAGGGAGTCCATTTCTTATGGGATTATGCATTGGGGTACATAATAAAACAAGACATAGATTAATCACAATATAAAATACTTCTTCCTTTTTACAAAACTTTTCAAATTAGAAAAAAACACACTTACAAAAAGGTTATTTTCATATTATTTTCTAATTATGACTCATTTACCCTAACCTATTACGAAGTATAGGGGTGCACTGGTGCTCATTTTTTAATTTTCATTTATTTTTTGTTTTTCCCCTTTTTTGTTTCTTTTATTAATCAAATTTTTTTAAATTTCTTTTAAATTTTTTTATTATGTTCTTAAAACATTAAATTCTTTCTATACAGAATTTGTATGTTTTAAATTAATAATTTTGATTTTTTTTTCTAAAGTAGAAAATTTAAAACTTGTTTTGAGAACTTCAAAAAATGTGGAACAAAATAAGAAATACAATAAAACAAAAAATGAATATCCTTGTTGAACAATCCAATTCTAAGGATGTTTATAGGCATTCTAAAAATTTCTTTTTGTATAAGACTCTTTTTTTAGATGTTTCAATTTTTATCATTTCATTTTTCCATATTTTTGTTTTTATTTTTGATTTTGTTTTTAAACTTACCAAAAAAACATTAGTATAGAAAACAAAAAATAAAAATGTTTAATTTGAGATAGATGGAGTATATGTCATTTTTAATTTTTATTTAAAACACAAAGAATTTTAAATTTTTAAAAACATTATAAAATGTTTTTAAAAAAATTAAAAAAACTTTTCTAGGAAAAGGAAACAAAGAGATCAGATACAAAGTTAAAAAAAGGAAAAAAAAACAAAGTAATACACGAAAAATAAGAAATGAGTGTGTGTGTGTTATGGTTTAGAAAATAAGCACCAAGGCCCCCTCTTCTCCAGAAAATGATCGGAATGAGTGTGGGTGCAACGTTTTAAAACCACAAAAACTTTAGAAATAAAATTCGAAAATCGAAGAGATATTCGTGACAATTTTCCAAAATAAACCACAAGCCAAGGGGCACTGGAGCTATTTAGTCATATTTTATTTCATTAAATAGTTTTTGAAAATACATAAACAAATATAAGTTGTTGTGAGTTAGATTGGTCCCAATTAAATAATAAGAATCTAATTTAAGATGGAGGGAGTATCAATTACACATATTTAGGGTGCGTTTATTTTGTCTTTGGAAAATTTTTATGAGACTATGGAAGTAATAGACATTATACTACGTAATTACTCAGAAAAAAATGAGACGACCTAGGATACATAAATGATTTGAATTGAGAGGTAGGATACATAAACGGCTTTTAATATATAATTATTCAATAATAGTTATTAGCAGCTAGCTAGGTAGATAATGATTAATTAGCATGCAGGCAGGCTAATTCAATTTCAAGTTGCTAATTAACATGCCCAATTATTATATTACATATAGCTAAAATCATGAGCCATGTGAGAAGGAGGAGGAGAAGATTGAGCTGCCGGCGCCAACTGGTAGCCGTACGATCTTTGTCCAAAGCAATCAATTGACATCCTCGGCGGTGATACCCCGACTGTCACCGACGATCCTGATGAGTCCCGCTGCGGCGGCTGCTGCGGCGGAGACCCTATAATTATTGTATAGTAATATTGTACCAAACATTTAATCTCAATCAAAACGAATTTACATTAATTAAGGCTGTATGTCTTTATTTAACATTAGAATCTGACTTGGAAGGCTGTCGGACGACGGTGAATTGTGGGCGGCGGCGTTGTTATCAGCAGCCTGCTGATGAGCGGCGGTGTTGGCGCTATTTTCCTGGTGGTTTGGTTGGGGGACTTTCCTCCTCCGCCGGTTGTGGTCGGCCAACCTGCGGCGGCAACTCCTTTTGCCGTTATCGAACTCCGTCAGGACGTGGAATCTGCTCAGCCATTCATTTTGATTGATTGGGTAAAGAGTGAGATGGAAGAAAAAGACAAAATTAATGTGATTTATTAAAGTAAATTTGTTCGGACGAATATATAATTAAACCTCAGCCAATTAAAATTGGACCGTCCGATTTGGTCTTTTTATGTTGATGATCTTAAAGACAGATGAGATTCTCAGATCAGACAAAGACACACTCTCACACACAAATAGGAAACGCTGTTTTACTATAAAAAGCAAAAAAATGAATGTTTAAGGAGTGTGCGTACGGGGAATTCGCGGAACGGGGTCGTGTCGGGAGACACAATTTTACGGACTCAAATGCCCTCGGGATCTCCCCCCCAACTCCCCAATCATTACCCATCTCCCCGAGGATATTTCCGTCCTATTCTATCTTTTCCGTTATCCAGTCTTTGTTACACAGTCCTTCATTCCCAAAATCAAACCACTTTTGAACCGCATATCTTCTTATCCACATTTGTTATCTACTCCTTAATTTTTTTTATTCTTACCAAAAAATATGTACAAATTGAGATATAATTATCCAATACTCACCCGCCATTAAATAATTATAGCTGACTCCAAAAAGACCAAAAAATTATAATCACGTTTTAAAGATTATTTTTTTTAAAAAAATTATCTCTAAAGATTCACTTACATGTTACGAATTTACTTAATTTTAAAATTTTAATTTTTGAATTTTACATTTATAAAAAAAAATATGGGAAATATATTTGAGGAATGATTAATAGAGATGGACAAGAGACCTGCTACACTGTTGGCAGAACCGTTGGGTCAAACCGGCGGCGAGGACGGTGGCGGCTTTGGAGTGGAAATCGCACACCTTGTGGCGGCGGTGGTAGTGCTTGGCGAGGGTGAGGTCAGCAGTGCAGCCCTCGGCTTGGCACCTCGGGGCGTTGAACGAACTGGCGGCATCCACCAACCTGGACCGGCGGTACAGCCGGTTCACGAAATCATCCTCGGTGGACGAGAAGTATGTCCTGCCTCCCAAGTTGAGCCCCAGGTTGGCGCCGGAGAAGTCGACGCCGCCGCCGCCGATCCCCAGAGGCTCGCTCTTCGGGACCACCACGAACCCCGCCGCCGCCCCCGGCTCCAGGGAAAGCATGGGAACAACCTGATGATGATGATGATGATGGGAAGCCTGCGCGAAAGGCGCGCCCCCGTAGGCGCGTGGGTCGTAGAGAGAGCACATGTGGTTGGTCTCCTGGCCGCCGTCTCCGGCCGGGTGGTGGAACAGCTGCAGGTGGTCCTCGGCGGAGAAATGGCCGTTGTGGCCGCCGACTAAGCCCGGCCCGCCCGCCGCGTCTTCGTTGAAGTTTGCTTGGGTGGCGTAGAGGTCGAAGAAATGGCGGTTCTGGGCGGAGGTATCTTCTCCGGGAAACATGGCCGTCGCCGACGACTGGGTTCCCCATTCGTAGTCCAACATGGCAACGCGCGAGAACACAGTCAAAGGTAAAAATAAAGAAAAAAGAAGAAGAAAAAGAGAGTTACTGCTACTGAGTTTGCAGAGTAAAAAAAATGAATAAATAGCGGTAAATGGAAAATAGAGGAATAAACGGTTGGGAGGAAAAAGAGAATGGAAAAATGGGGAGGGAGAGGAAATCTGTCAGCTTTAAGGGGAAGAGATTTTATGGAGTAGAAAAGCTGCACCCTTTATTTATTTTCAAACACTACCGCTAGCTGCTAGCAGCTCTCACTCGGCATGGTTACACATTTATCCCTTTCTCTATCTAAAAAAGGACCATCCTACATTTACACCAAAACTTGTACCCCAAATTTATATCAAATGTATATGCTAACATTTTGATAGTTCACACTGACACAAAGTGTTGATGCGTTAACAAAAATTTACACTAACATAAAGTGTTGATGCGTTAACAAAAATTAGCATTACACCAACACTAAATGTTGGTGCATACCTGCGGTGTACAAATGGGGTACAACACCTTGGGGTACAAATAGCATTATCCCTCAAAAAAATACTCTTTGTTTTTTTCAATTATGCTACACTTATACCAAAGACTGTACCTCAGAGTTATACAAAAAAGATATACTAACATTTGATAGTTCATACCATCACAAAATGTTAGTGCGATTAAAAAAACTTATATTAACATTTTGTGCATGTATGAACCATCACCCTAGAATTACACTGGCATAAAATGAAAGTGCACACTTGTGATGTACAATTTGGGGTACAAATAATTTAATCCTTAATTTTATTGTGTTCACGGATCTAAAAAAATATGCTTTTGAACAAAGTGTAAAATATCATTTCTTGTGTGATTTCAAGAGGGGTTTTTTTCTTTTTTTTTTCATTTGAATGGAGAAGTTGATTTGAGGATAAAAAAGGAATAGAAATTAGAGATGAATAAGGTGGAGCTGCCGTCGCCGGTAATACCAGCTGCGGCGGTGGAAAGAATGAACTCTTTTAGGTCACCAACAGCGGTGGCTTTGATACCATGTTGACATATTGGAATAATAATATTACTCATTTAATTATGAAATACATGATAGAGTATACGAGTATATAGAAGAGAGATTAACAATTTTATTTTATTAATTATAGGAAGTATTGCTTTTATTATATAAAAATATAAAATAAATAAAATAAGAAAGTCAAAATATATGTGGAGTTGTACGGAGTACCTAATTATACATATACTCCGATCAAACATAAAGATTTGTTTAATTTGTGCGCGCTGGCCGATCGAATTCAAATTAGAAGTTCTATTCTTATTCCCAAGTTGGGCATTTTTTTGTTACATATTCTTACTTGAGGGGTGTTAAAAGAAAGGGAATATTTGGATATATTTTTGTATATATTGTTTTTGGTAGTTTACTTGTATAGGAATTTGTGTCCTTTGTTGAATAGGATTCTGAGCCTGTGAGAATATATATATATATATATGACTATATATATATGACTTTTTGTAAATTGTAAACATAAGAAATACAAGAGATTTTCCTCCCAATTCATAATTCTATCAAATAACAATTTTTTTAAATTAATTATAGGAAGTATTGCTTTTATTATATACCGGAATAAAAAATATAAAAATAAATAAAATAAGAAAGTCAAAATATTGAGTTAGTTGTACGGAGTACCTAATTATATATATACTCCGATCGAACATAAAGATTTGTTTAATTTGTGCGCGCTGGCCGAATACAAATTAGAAGTTCCATTTGCTTTTCTGCCTCCATGCTGCAGATTTGCACGTACGTACTTTAATTTAGCATTGGCCGAATAAACAAAAAACGTGCTTGACTAATTATTTTTTTCAATAATTTAAATCAGGACCCTTCAATTCTTTGACAATTAATATCCCATATTGCATGCATGTGATCGAATTGACTCTGTATTATTTATATGTTTTTTTTGGTATTTCGTCATCTCCTCCTTTATTAAATTGATTCTCTGTTTTTCCTTCTAAACGCACCCCACCATGGAATTACAATTCATTCATTCAATGTCAAAAGGAAGAAAAAGATCCCTATCTAGCTTGTTGCAAAGAGATAGAGAAAAAGAAATAGGATCATCGAATAATTGACTCTATTTTTTTTAAAGGGTATATTGGGACGGACTCAAATTTACTCTCTAGAAGCAAGTTACATTTCCTCCGTTTCAGAGTATTTCTCATGCTTGAGTTTTTGGGTCAAATTAAATGAACTTTGAGTTTTAGTTAAATAATACTTGTAATATATTTTAATATAAAATGACTTTATTAGATTTATCGTATTGAAAACTTTCAAAATTGTACTCTCATTGTACTAATATGCACTACAAATTGAGAGCAATTAAGTTCAAATTTTTTTCTAGTTTGACTCGAAAAAATCAAACTGCATAAATTACACTGAGACATAGGTAGTATATGCTCAACTTATTGCTCTTATTATTATTTTTGTTATTATTATTGTTATTATTATTATTATTATTATTATTACTTCTACTACTACTACCACCACCACCACTACTATCATCATCATCATCATCTCTCCTCTTTCAATTATGCATAATCACTTGTTTACCCTTATCAATTTGCTAGACAATAATAAAAGTTAAACATTAATTTATAGTAGAGTTGGTGTTTTAGCCAGCTTCTATATTTGATTTCTAAATCTGCTTGGAGTCTCTTCAATTCATACCCGGATCTATCTGTTAGCCTTAGTTTTTCTAAATCTCATATTTTGCTGTTAACAATTCAAACAATGTATGAGCTAACATTGTTTGAGTGTTCCAGGAACAACAAGAATCTATTAAGAATCAATTCTCAAAAACGAAGGCGAAATACCAAATTACTAAGCTAGCGTAGAATATAGGTAGAACAAATTGTAAGAATATGATTTTTGTTGGAATATTGGAATAATAATATTGCACCTTGAATTATGAAGTACATGATAGAGTATATATAGGAGAGACTCCTAACACAATTAGGAATAGAGAATGAGAACGAACTAACATACAATATCTACCATAAATAGGAATAGGAAACTAACTAAAATACAAATACAAATACTACTATAACTAAGACTACCATAATTGTTATTGTTATTACTGTCTAACACCCCCCCTCAAGCTGAACTATGGCTGAAGCAAGAGGAAACTTGGACACTAGCTGGAAACTGGAAACTTTGAGAAGAGATAAGTCTGAAGTGCGCCGGTGGCTGCTCACGTCGTTGGAGAAGAGAGGAATTGACGTGCGCTAGTAGCTGCTGACGTCGATGAAGAAGAGAGAAGGTAGACGTGCGCTTGTAGCTGCTGACGTCGAAGAAGAATAGAGAAAGCTACTGGAGGTGCCTGTTTGACTGAAGATCCTTGACATTTTTTTGTCTTTTTCTTGGGTCCGGGCAATGCCTTATTTCCTTCTTGAAGGGGTGAGTTGTAGAGGTCTTATTTCCTCTTTCACTACTTCCCCTCTTGGCTTTGCTTTTGTGCTGATTTACTTTGGATTTTTAATGATTCAACAGAAGAGAAAGAGAAGGGAGGTTGATGATTGGAATGAGTGATTTTAGAGAGAAAAAGTAGGTTAAGAATTGGTGATGGAAAAAAAAATTTGGGTCTGAGATTTTGATATGGTGAATTGGAGAGAAACAACAATCATTTTTTTTTCCTTTTTTTTGAGAAGATAGGATGATCTGAGAGAGTTTGTGAGGAGTTGGGGTTTTTTTTGAAGAACCATGGAGATGACAAGAGAGAAGCTCCTCCTTTGATAGTTTTTTTTTGTGTGATTTCAACAAGGGTTTTTTTTCATTTAAGTGGAGAAGTTGATTTGAGGATAAAGAAGGAAAAGAAAATAGAGGTGAATAGGGTGGAGCCGTCGTCGCCAGAATTACCGGCGGCGGCGACGGAAGCAAAGAACTCTTTTAGGTCACCAAGAGCGATGGCTCCGATACCATGTTGGAATATTGGAATAATAATATTGCTCCTTGAATTATGAAGTACATGATAGAGTATATATAGGAGAGACTCCTAACACAATTAGGAATAGAGAATGAGAACGAATTAACATACAATATCTACCATAAATAGGAATAGGAAACTAACTAAAATACAAATACTACTATAACTAAGATTACCATAATTGGTATTGTTATTACTGTCTAACAATTTTATATGCATATATTCAAGAGCTCAAAATGCACTCACAAAACATGTTTAAAATTTAACTATAAATATTTTTTAAATGTCCAAAATATTTTAAACTCAAAGAAAGGATTAAGCTAAAGAAGAAAAAAGTAATTCAGTGGCCCGGTACCTGTTCTGCTACCTCAGTACCGTCTAACAATACATTTGTAACATAACCTAGTAGCCCGCTACCGTTTAAAGTAGAGACCGCCACAAAGTTCTCTTCTCATTCGGTACCCTGCTACTGACCAATCGGTACCCAACAACCGAAAGCCTATACCCTGCTACGTGCTACCATTAGTTCAGGACCCAGGTACCGTCCCAACGAATAGATTTTTCAAAATCTTGATTTCATATCTAATCACATTTAATTAGCCAAAATTTCTCGTAATTGATCCCCAACTGCTATAAATGGCCACTTAATATTTCACACTAAATTAAAGTGGAAACTATTATAAAAAAATTATAGCCTAAATTAAAGTGGAAACTTTATTTCCGAACGGAGAAAAAGGAGAAATGAGAACTTTATTTCCGGACGGAGGGAGTATTATAAAAAACCTTATACATAATATAATTACTTCTGTTAGAATTCTGACGGGCTGAGAACAACAGGTAGAGTGTCGGGTAAAATTAACCACTTGCATATAAAGTCGGGATCCAATATTCTAGCCCAAAAGCTTAAGCTGATAGGTAGAGCTACACTTTCCAATATATGCTAGTAGTATTTTTCTTTTTTTCGATGTGGGATGGAATTCCAACACTCCCCCTTAAATGGTCCATAGCATGGTCTAGTAATCACTAGGACAAACGAGTCTAGCATCTCAAACTCTTTTAACAAGCTCACATAACGGGCAGTGACTTCTC